CACCTGCGGTTGATGCTGGGTGTTTGGTGATGGTGGCTCAGCTCGTCCACACGGGGAGCTGCTTCCACAGTCAGCACTATTATTACCGGGTTGTCAAATGTGCATGAGGCCCCCGGTACTTACACTCTTACAACTTTACGAATAAAGCTGTTCCTTCCTTTCACTGCTGCGACACCTGAAACCATACACACATCTGCAGTGATCCTACACAGCAAGAAGCCACACAGCCAGCTCCTGCAAGTGGACCTGTCCTAAAATGTGTTCAGAGAGGCCGGTGGGATCCTGCACTACTGGTCCCGGAACCACTGTAATAAACAGGCAGAAAGAAGGCATGACTTTTCTCTTAACACCAGCCTCTCCCTCCCCACCTCTCCAGATACTTCTCCACTCTCCTCCCTTCCTTCCAGACCTCAGCAACCCTCCTCACAGTCTCTGTCATTGGAAATTCACTCCCTTTCTTACTCGTTACTGCTGTTACCTTAATATTTTAAGGTTGTCTGAATTAATAAAGGTTTTACAATGAGACAGCTGAGTGGCAGCCTGCTGGGCTGACCAAGTGAGCTGACCAAAGAATCAAAAGCAGTGGTCAGGAGGAGTCACCACAGAGAAACGGGAGGCCCTGAAGACAGGAGTCCAGGAAAGCCACCATGGTATACATCCACAGGTGAGAGGAATGTTGGTCATTTTGGCCCAGAGCACAGCTTCCTGAAATGTGTCCTTCAGACTCTTGGGATGGGGCCCACTTGAAGTCCACACCCCGAGAGCAGTGGTTCTCAAATTATACAGGCAGGCGGAGATCCCATTCTAAGCAAACAGAAACGTGTCCAGGGGATAAGAGGACTAATAGGAACAATGAGAGGGTGGGGTGACAAGGGAATGGAGGGCATTGTGGTTCTACGGGCCTTCGAGACACGTCAGAATCCAGCATTCGTTTATAGGAGTCAGAAGGTCCAGTCTGCAATCAGCTCAAGGAAGTGGGCACGACTGACTTACGTAATGGACTGAATTTAACAAAAAGATTTTCAGTAAACAAAGAAAGCCAGTCCTGGCTTCTTTAAATTATTTTCTAATTAACCAAATGACTTCAAGTTGAGACATTAAATAATTAGCCCATCTGGATTAAGCTTGTCACTTCCAATCTCAATTCTTTTAAGGCCCCGAAAGACAGGACACCTGGAACTAGTCAGATCCCAATCTAGTCTAATTTTTAGCTCTCATATAGTTTTGATACCTACACACACACACACTCAGTGATATCAACAAACAGCCTTTCATTTTCTAGATTAACCCTTGAGAAACATCTGGTGGCTCAGCCTTCTCTTCCTGTTTCCTTTTTTTGACTTTTCTGGATATTGCCGAAATTCAAACACCCTGTTACACCCTCCTTGATCATACCACTTGAAGAGCTTTGCCCTGCCTACGCAGAAGCCCAAATCTCTAAGGCACAAACAAGAACTACATCCTAGGCAGAGGTTATGCAGAGCTGGCTGCTTTAAAACTGTTGGGGGCATTAGCCACATAGACGGTTGTCCAAGGCCAGGGTCTCTGGTCTTTCTGTAATGGTAAAAGATGGCCCATAAAAAGAGACCCAAATTAAAGTCATTACCAAATCCAACAGGTTTTTACTGTATGCCTGCGCTGTGAAGCATGCTGTGTGAGGCACCGTCAGGATCTAGATGGAGTGGAATTAATTCAGACAACACCAAAGGTGGCTCTAAATCATGTCCTACAAGGAATAGCTGAATAATCCAGAATGGTTAGCCTGAAATCAGAAGCTTCTGAGAGAACCATGAGCTCTCATGCCTAAACATTTAACCTTTTTTCTTGCAGAAAATAGATTAGACTTGTTTTGTACAGGACCACACGGAATTAGTATCAATGGGTGATCAGTGGAAGGAAATCGTAGACACTAAGAAAGAACTCGCTATCAGAGCAATCTAAAAACAGAATGAGCTGCTTGGGGAGAGGCCTAGTTAGCAGTACTGGTACCTGCCGCACTATATACCAGTCACGGGGTACCCCACCCCTACAGAAATCTTACCCTGACTGCTTCAAGGCAATCATCTCTAATTCTAATTCATCTCTAATTCTACCACCAAAGGCGATCACTGCCCACATACTGGCATGTTGCCTTCTGGGGTTTCTTGTGCATTTTTTTAACATAGTGAAATTACAATTTTCCACCTTTTATTGAAAATTATTTCTCCAGGATATTTTGTAGATTACCGGTATTTACCAAAGCATTCCCTAACTGTTGGACATTTACAGCTCAGCAATAAGAGCAGGAGCTCTGGTTTGAGTCTCGCTTCCTGACCTGGCCATCTTGGGAGTTACTTCTCCTTTGTGCCTCAGTTGCCTCACTTGGAAAATGAGGATTACACCTCACAGAGTTGTTGTGTTAGTTAATTCAAGCAAAGCACTAACAACAGTGCCTGCCACATACCATGCACTCAAAAGTCTTACCAATTATAGGTAAAAGCCTAGAAATCTGTGGAGAAAAATTGTGAGACTTCAAAATGGACCAAAAAATTACTGGGTGTCTTTCATGTGTCAACTCAAAATAACCAATAACCATTCTATAGATAAGAGAGGTAAGGTGAGTTTTACTTGAGCATGGTTTTCAGTACAGCTTTATACCTTTTCAGAACAAAGAACATGCCCAGGATACATATTCATCAAAGTTTCAAAGAGGTATTCAGTTGCAAATTAGCAGGTCAACTTATCTTCAGGAGTGCTAGTACAGGTGGGCGTTACCGATACTGGTGGGCATAGGAGGGGAGGTATACATTCTTATCTTAAAAGAGCCCATCCTTTTACTTTGAGATGTTTAATGCATTCTTTAATGGTTAAAGCAGATGTACAATGTTTGATATGCCATAAGTCAGGCTTCCTTAGTTCAGGCCAGAATGGCTATCTCATACCTCAATATGTGAAAATCTTGTCACGTAGAAATTACTTTGTCTAGCACAATCTTGGGGTGAGGGACTCAACGTCTGAGCCGTAGCACAACTCTGAAAATTGTACATAAATGGTACTTGTCCACAGACAAGTATCAAATTCTGTCTGGTGGGTAACTGACTTCACTCTCTGTGGAAAAAGCCTGTTTTACAGGTGTCAATTCATCTCAACATCCTGGATTCATCTATTAAGTGTGATGCTTTGCATTCTCCTTTGAACAGGATGAAACATCTTACTGGTTTCTTTAACAAGTTAAATAAAACCCTTGACAGGTCCTGTGACAGATCTCACTCAACCCTAATTTAATAAATCAAGGGACCCAAGCTAAGAATATATCCTTTATGCTCCAATGGTTGCTTGGACCTCTCTTGTAGGATCTATCATATTTTGCCATCAACACCATTGAGCTTTTACTGGGTAATTTAATTCAACCCAGCAATCGAGGACCTACTATTAATACACAAGGCATCCTGCTATGTGCTGTAGTAAATACCAAAATAACCGTTCCTGCCTTCATGTAATAGACCTTTGGGGACCAGAGGTGCAGGCATTCAACCTTACAGCAAGTGTGTCGTGGGTATTGAGAGCATTAGCATTGATGTCAGACAGACTCCAGCTCCAGTCCAGTTCTGAGCCCTTTCTAACCTGGGGAGACTTTGGGGAAATTATTTAACCTTTAAGCTTCAGTCTCCTCAGCTAGGTAACGAGGATAATATCTATAGAAGAGTATTCTGAGACTTGAAAAAGATAATGTACATAAGGCACTTTACATAACATCTGGCACATACATTTTAAAACAGAATCTTTAGCACTAAGTCCTTCAACCCCTAATGGAGAAGCCATACACCTACCCACACCAGCCCTCGCACCTGCTACCACCACTACAGAGGGCCAGGACTGGCTGGGGAGTGTTTCCTCAGGCAATGCACAATTCTTACACAAGCATTTACACAAGGCCATCCCACTAGACCAGAGCCCAGCTCATCAACTCTCATAACCAAATCAAACACGTCTCACCTCACCTACCTAAATCACTAGATGTGTAAGCCTTTTTCCTCTACCTCACACACCCGTACGTTTGCTCAGTTGACACAGGTTCTCACCCAACCTCACCAGCTCCACTCCAGACACCTTCCTACGTCCTCAGCCTCTTCTTTCCACCTTACCCTGTTTGAAACCTGGTTCTTCCCTAAAGACACTTGCACAGCAACTGCAGTTTATCATCACATACTCCTGGGACTCAGGGTTAGGAGCAGGAAGATTTACCAAAAAGCTCATGAAACAAGCTTCAGTGTCCCTAACTTCTGAGTTCCTTCTAAGACCCTAGGAAGTACACTAAGTGTTCAGCCACGTTTTTGAAAAACTTGCAGATAATTTAACCACAACCAGTTAAGAGGCTTTTTCCACTCCAGCTTCCCACCACTTTCCCTCCTGTTGGATGACACTGTACCCACCACTGTTCCCAACTACCTCAACCAATCCCTTCTATCCTCATCCCAGCCAACATCACTTCCTAACCTGTTCTGACAGACTTGTTCCCTGGCTTCCACCCTCGCCCCACTAAAATCCATTCTGCTCACAAGACCCAGTGAACCTTTAGTCACTGCTCCCTTCCACATACAAGTATTTGATAAGTTTACAAGCTGTATCTGTGAATTTTCCCAAAAGCTTGGACTGCCACCTCTGGGCAAGTGCCCAGAGCAGGTTTTAGTGATAACCTTCTTTCTCAACGTCATTTTCAAGTCTTACTTCCACTGCCCCAGCTCCCTGTAGAGTCAATTACTCATAAGACAGTCTGTCTCCGGTTATATGCTGGATGCTCCTACACAGAGCAGGCATTTTACATAACAAAAAATGCTTTTTTACAGTGTAAGAACAAAACCGTCATTTATCAGAGTTCAGCATGAATACTCTGACATAACTGAGAAAAAATAAGCCACACATTTGAAGATAAATTCATTGAGAAAGTAATAGCAAGTTTTAAAGAAGAGATTTCTATAATCAACTGAATATTCCATTCACATTACAACACTCATAATTGAAGTATTTTTTTTATTTTATGTACAAACAACTAGCATTGTTTCTGCTGTGGGTAGATGTCTTGGATGACCCATTCAAGGAAAGTCACTCAGTCCAACTGAAAAGAAAAAAAAAAAGAAAATTAATTCAAAATGCTTTCAATATCCATTTTATTCTCACAAAACTGGTTTATTATAGAAGAATCAGGTGTAAACTGGAAATGTGACCCACCCACACTAGCTATCAAGAGCTAAATAGCTTAAATATTTACCGAATGCCTAACTACAAGCTGCTCCACACACCACAACAATTATATTTTAGCCCATGAACTTTGGTATTCTCACTTCTCCCACAGAATTTCCCACTAGAAAAACACTACTACATAAAATGATCTTTACCAACAGCTCAGCATGGTTATTAAGCAAGCAATTACACAGCTAATATTTTGGTACTAAGTGTGCTGCACACTACTCTAGAAATCATTGATAAATTAACTCACTTAAGCTTAACCTCAGAAACTGGGGGCACAAAGCTGCCTAGTGGGCCAAGTCCCTTCTCTCCTCTGTGATATACCACCTACCAAGAAGCTACTGAACTTCCACATCGTAACATCACGCACACTCGTTAAGTCCTTGGTCAAAGCTGAAAGTCTAAGCTTAAGATACTTTTTCTCTGCCACAGAGATCCCACATTAACAATTTTTATCCACTATAATACATCAAAGATTTATTTTTTAACAAGTAGTTCTACTCAATGTAATTATGAACTATAAGGGCAGTGACTGTATCTCAAAGAGCCATTAAAGGAGTAAAAATTCGTTTTCACCTTAAAAAAAATTCTAGCATTTAAGTGATTTTTAAGAGCCAAGAAAGCTTCGTATACACTATCTAGCTAATTTTTGCAACCCCCCTGGCGTGTTTTCACAGGCAGCTGAGCTTCAAGCGACCTGACCCAAGTCAGAGGACTACGAAACGGCAGACCTCGGGCTGCATCCTGCCAAGGTCTATCCGGCCCCAGACCTCAAGCTCATTCCAGTACACCCCAGTACATCCAGCCACCCAACATTCCAGGGCGGTGGGCAACACACGTTCTTTGCTGGAAAACGTCTAGATACGCTTGAAGACACCTAACACTTGAGCGATTTTACCCAACATGTACACGGCACCTGGAACGGGCAGAGGCGGGCACGAAGGCGTCGGAAGCACTGCTCCCAGGCCCCCAGTTAGCCCGACGGCCCGCACCGAGCCGGGGCCCGCACCGCCCCCCGGCCCCCGCCCCCGGGCCCGCACCTTCACGAAGCCGATGTCCTTGGCGTACTGGCGGAAGCACTGGCGGCACATGTTGAGGCCGTATTTCCGGATCAGGCCGTGCCGGTTCGAGCAGACGCGGCTGTGAGGGGAGACGGCGTTACCGCGCGCCGCACGAGCCACAGGATCCGCGCCCGGGGCCGCCGCCCGCCCCGCCGCCCGCGGACCCCACAGAGGCCTGCGATGGCGGCAGGCACCGCGCCACCGCTCCCCGCGCCGCCCGGGCTCCTCTGCGCAGATTTCACGCAGCGTCGCGCCCCAGAGCAGCCCTCACCACAACCACATTCCGTTCCTCACCAAGAACGAGAACCCTGGCCGAATTTCCTCGGATGGCTCCAGTAGAGCTGCTGATGACCCATCTTGCTTTCTCGGAGGCAATGAGGCGAAAGGAAGAGGCTGGCGCCCGCATGCGCTCTTCACATTTTGGGAACACTTTACCCAGAATGCAGTGCTGACAAGTGACGCGTGCGCACAGTGGCTACGCTGGTTCGCGCGAGTGACCCGAGCGAAGTCTTGGAAACGCTCCAGGCCGGCGCCGCTGAGGACGTCAGCGCGCCTCGGCCTCCAGACCGCCCCGCGCTGGGAGCGCCTCTCCCCGCGACAGCCCCGCCCCCGCTCCGCCCTGATGACGCCATCGAGCCTCCGCCTCCAGACCGCCCCGCGCTGGGCGTGCCTCTGCCCGCGACAGCCCCGCCCCGCCGCCCCGCCCCCGGTGACGTCAAGCGCCGCAGCCTCTAGAGCGGCCGTGCGCCGCCTCCGAGCGCCGGGCGCGGTGGCGCGCGCCTGTAGTCCCAGCTACTCGGGAGGCTGAGGCAGGAGGATCGCTTGAGCCCAGGAGTTCTGGGCTGCCGTGCGCTATGCCGATCGGGTGTCCGCACTAAGTTCGGCATCAATATGGTGACTTCCCGGGAGCGGGGGACCACCAGGTTGCCTAAGGAGGGGTGAACCGGCCCAGGTCGGAAACGGAGCAGGTCAAAACTCCCGTGCTGATCAGTAGTGGGATCGCGCCTGTGAATAGCCACTGCACTCCAGCCTGGGCAACATAGCGAGACCCCGTCTCTTTTGGACCCTCAGGAAGGAAACAAAGGATCTCCTGATCCTATCATTTTTTCGTCGCCTCAGTGTTTTACGTTCTTTTAATTAAAATTTTACATTTGAGAAAAGGATTTTGCCTAAACTCAGCACTGACACCTACCGGGATAAAGTTACAAAATAACAAAAATCAGCTGTAATAACTAGGAGTCAACGGTAGGAGTTTCTGTTTCCTCAAACAGAATACGTTTTCAAACTTGTTTTTTTCTTTTATTGACACACTCCTAGAAATACACCCACACCACTCCAGAAAAATGATGCGAGGCTTAGTGTGTTTGATATTTAAATGTAGTTGGTTGAGTTTAAAGTGAGGAAAGAGGCAATGTGCAATGTATGTTGCTTTGACCAGATGATTTGGTGACGAAACAACTAGTGAAAACCAAATGCCATCTGATAATCTGCTGAAAGATGTCTAAAGTCCATGTGGTCGTTTATAATGCCTCTAGATAAACCTAGAACATACATGGATCTGAAATCAAAGCTTTACCTATGAAATGTACCACAAGGTGCAATGATCCAGGAAACTTGTACATGTGAACTCTCACATTAGAACTGAAATACAACACTTCTGCATGTACGGTACTTCAGGATTCTAGTGGGATGCCCCTCCCAATCATTAAATTAGGGACTTTGTTACATGATGAAGGAAGGGGGCAGGTCAGAGATTAAAAGACCAGATATGACTAGATTTTTGCCTTTAAAGCTTGCAAGCACGGTGAGGAAAACCGGATTATCTCAAAGCAGCCCTTCCCTCCGGTTTCAACTTTTTCGGCTTTTCAATGACACGTATGCAACTAAGTAAGCAGAACATTCTGTGTTCAGTGATGCATGGGCTCATGGAGTTCAAGGGGAGCAAAGAGAGAAATTAATTCCAGGGGGCTGGCCCTGTGGCTTAGCAGTTAAGTGCGCGCCCTCTGCTCCTGGCAGCCGGGGTTCGGATCCCAGCGCCCCAAGACGCACTGCTTGTCGGGCCATGCTGAGGCCATCCCACATACAGCAACTAGAAGGATGTGCAACTATGACGTACAACTATCTACTGGAGCTTTGGGGAGAAAAAGAGGGGGCGGAATAAAAAAAAAAGAAATTAATTCCAGCTTGAGGTACATTTAAGGGGCCTTTGAGGTAAACTTTAAAGAGTGGGCTTTCTACAGGAGAGGGATGCCTAGTGAGAGGAAGAATTTGAGCCAAACATTGGAATTGGAAAAGGTTTGGGGAAGGTGAACAGCCTTGTGTAACTGTTATGGAACCAAGTGGGCTCGCCTCCTGGTGAGTTAAATAAGACTCTACACCAGTGGAAGTTGTCTCACAAAGTAAAGTGTATTTGCAGCAAATAGGAGGCCATTAGGAATCATTTCCAAAGTCATGGCATCCTGGAACAAAGGGAAGCAGGAACTTTTATTTTGCTTGGGGAATGAATATTCAAAAGGGAGAGGCGGGAATTTGCTTGCACAGGCTCAGTTGGAGAACATGCTTCCACATAATAAGGCCTAAGCTCCTCCTGGAGAGATCTTTGTATTAAAAATAAGGCAAAGGTCGTGTGCATAGCTCTTGTGGTGAGGCTTGTCAGTTTCAGGATGGTTGGTGGTTACACCTCCTTAACATACAAAAGGAAAAGAAACAACTTGGACAGTTAATGGCTTCCAAACCCACCTTTGAGTTTGTGAAGGCACCTAGTTTGGTGACATAGCTAAAGTGGAGGCTGCACAAAAAGCCCAGTGATAGATAAAACTGAAAAGGTATTTTATTTAAAGCCTGACTGTGGAGGGTCCAATGTCAACCTTCCACAGTTTTCCTGGAAATTATATCAGTCATTGATGTGCAGTTTCCAAAATCCATGTGCCTCGCAAAAGCTAGTCTAACATTTGCCCACCTATAGCCTTCTCAGGCCTTTCCTAGTTGGTCTCCATAATTTTTTAAAGATGACAATGGTTCTGAGGTGAATTCCGTAAATATTTTCAACACTCTTGATACATAATCCTTTGGGCCTAAAGAAGTGCACTCATTTAAAAACAAAAAGAAAAAGGACAAATAAGAAGCAATTAGTTACACTTTAACAATCTTTTAAACTATCTTGATATTCAAGTAGTTCTTAATATTTATTCTGGTCTTGAAAGTTATTCTTGATGGAGATATTACAAAACTGCAGAAGCTGTACTTCCTCTCAGTTTTAAGATAATGTTTTAATCTATCTCAACCAATGGAATTATCAATTTCTTTTTCAACAAGAATATGGCTTTAAAAGTCCATTTTAAGCTGGTATTTATAAAGACCTTTTAGTTTACTCCTGTACTCTTCTTACAGGTTCTTAGTACTCTTTTGTATTTGGCTTTTAAATACTTCTTTTAGACACATTTTCTTCTAATAGAATGCTTACTGAGTTTGGTTTCTTTTAATACAATGAAGTACAAAGAAAAAGAAAAAAATGTGCCATAATCTCCTTGCCCAGATAACCCCTGCTGATATTTTCTTATGGAGAAAACAAAATACTTATAAGACTGAAACGTTCTAACAGTACAGAGTATGGACATTATTTTTTAATTTAAGCACATTGGAATGATCTGCGTGTTAAGACACTATTATTCCAAATATCTCCTATTTTCTTCCTCAATTTATTCTCACAATCATTTGTGATTGTACATCCAGAATTTTATTATTTAATGACCTATATTTTTCTTGAGTTATCTTCAATTTCAGAACCTTTAGGAATAGAATCATACTTTCTCTCTAAACTTAAAAATCTATTTTACCATCAACAAGGTCTAAGATACATGTTTTGCATGTTTGGCTATCACAGTATGTACATTTCAGCTTCATCAGCCAGTTCTTTCCAGCTGGTCAGGTTTAAGTCTTTAATGATTTAATTGACATTTTTAAGGCCAATGTTTAATTGTGTGTGTGTGCGCGTGTGTGTGTATATATAGCCATTTCAGCAAATATTGATATTTTAATTAACTATATATTCTAAAAAAAAATACATACATAAAATATATTTTTTTAAGTAAGTCTTTCTCCAACCCAGACCCCTATTTCTTCATCTCCCTATCCAGACCATCATCTTAGTTTTTGGAGGGATCCTTAAAGAAACATTCTATCTACACACTCACACACGTGTGTATGTGTGTACCTATATGTATATCTATGGACATACCTATGTATAAATGTGTCCATATACATATGCTTGTATTGATATTTCTATATATTTATTACATCTCTTTCCATGTACACACACAGAAGGATACCACACCCAATGTTTTCACAGATAAATAGATCATAAAGCATCTTAGAAGGATATAAAAACTATGAAGAAATAATATAGCAAAAACAGGGAATTAAGATGAATTGAAACATCCATAGGTGAACGTTTTTTTTTTAATACTTACATTATATCTATATTTATGTAGTATATCAATATAATAAAGTACGTCTATAAAATAAAATTCTGGAAGTGAGACTGCTAGAATGGGACACAGAATGTAAGTTTTTACATTTTTCGTAGATATTACCAATTTGCCCTCTATATAAATTGTAACAATTCAAACTCATACCCATAGAAAATATCTGTTTTCCCACAATCTCCCAAGGGTATAAATTAGCAGACTTTTTATTTGTCCTTCTGATAGCCTAAAAATGACAGGTGTTGTTTCAGTTTGAGTTTCGTGAGGCAGAGCATGTTTTCCTGTGTGTGTAAGCCAGCCGTGTGGCTCCACCTGGGCACTTCTCTTTTGAGTCTACAGCCCACTTTCTTATTATTGCCAGTCTGTAGTTCATGTATTTGTAAATGCTTACATGCAAGGAAAAGAGCCCTTGTCCTTCACCCTAGTTGCAAAGTTATTTTGTGCACCACAACCCCAGATTCTTATTTATTTAATTTGTTTGTGGTATATTCTTCCATGCAAAATGTTTAAATTTTATGTACTAAAATGTATCAATTTGTTACATTACTTCTTTTAGGTTTTGTGTCAGATTTCTAAAACTCTGTGTTTTCTTTTAGTACTTTTACATTATCAGTTTTTATTTCAAATCTTGAATCTGCCTAAAATGTATTGCCCTGTTCCCCAGGAGTGAGGGAGAAATCCAGCCTCCCTCCCTCCCAAATAGCTAGCTCTGTACTTCAACACAAGCGATACTAACTGAAGGCACACTAGTCTGTAGGCTTGCTCTGTTCTAGCACAATGCAGGCTCTCATCAATATTTGTTAAATGAAGAGCATATAGTCATTTACTCATTCCTTGTTTCTAAAAATTTACACTGAGTACCTACTATATGTGAACACTACCCTAGGCCTTGCATATAACAGTAGTGACTCAGAACCTGTCCCCAG